GTTATGTTCAGATGAGGAAACCAGGTCAAGCGAGGTTGAGGGCTTTGCAATTTCCATAACTCTGTCTTGCAGCCTGAGATTAACCCTCCAACCACAGACCCGCATGCCTCTTAGATTTAAGGATTTACAGTGAGGCCTGAAAAAGCAAAATGCGAATGTTAAAAGATGGGGAAGTGCTATCTGGGAAACAGCAGGGCATAGCCAAGGTGGCAATCAGGGCAAATCACTCAACACCTCTGGGCCTCAGTCTCCTCATCCACAAAATAGAGATAATAATGCTTGGCCAAAGTCCCTCATAGGCAGAGTAGGGACTGGTTCTCTGACTTATCCTCAGTAACCAGTGTGGCACCCGACACACAGGAGGTGATAACGAAGGAAAGGCACCAGGTATGAGGTCTGGTGCCCAGCAAACGATCCCTACAGTGAACAACTAGAGCAACCCCTGCTTTCATGAATGAAGGTCCTGTCTACTACTCTGCTGCCCCAACCCACAACCTGACTCCTCACCAATATTTTTTATCCCTAAGCTGGTGCTGCTGACTTTGAATTGCCCTACAAATCTGTGGGTTGCTGGTTATCCAATAAAGGAGCTATGACCCTCTAGCCTCTTTCAGCAAGGAGCACAGTGTTTACAAAACATCTTCCCCGGCAAACACTGGCCAGCTCGAAGCTCTTCAGGCCCCAGATTACAGTGGAGAGGACGTCTCCTGAGTAGAGTTCTTGTAGGCCTGGGAGGGAGCCTCCAACTCAGGCCTTCTCTTCTGTTTCCAGCACCAGCTCCGGACGAACTTACACTGCACACCTTGTAGGGGGCATCTGGTTTGCTTGTATAACCAAGGTGGCTAACAGAATGGCACTCAAAAAAAAACAGCCAAGCAAGGCAATTAAAACATATTCTGAGCTCTCAAAAAATTATCCCATTTTTCAGGCAAATTAAGCCGAAGATTGTGAATAATGTATCCTTTACTGATCTCATTAAATACTTTTGTTGTAAAATAATACTGACAGCAGACCCCATGGGGCTGGGGGCAGTGTGCCAGCCCCACCCACCTCAGTAGTGTTCCCCTGGGGCACCCAGCATGGAGAAGCAGCAGAGGGCTGAGAAGGGCCTGGGGGGTCTCAGCACTGATGCCAGCCTGGGTACTTCTGATGAAGCGCTCTGCTGGGCCTCCCTAGATGGCACCCCCTCCTTCTCAGAGAGAGGTTCTAACCGAAATCAAAGCTGAGACAGAGCCACTGCCTTGCTGCCCCCGAGGGACTACTGGGCCATGGCTCAGCACATTCAGGCAGCCAACCATGAGGATTTCAAAAACCAGAAAGACTCTCTGAGCACATGAGACAACAGCAAATCCCACAAGGCACAGGACGCAGATGCGGAGCAGTGCTGGGTAGACACGTTATGTTCCAAGAAGGGAAACCCAAAACTGAGCTCTCGAGGAAGGCAAGCACTCAAAAACACCATTTCCCCCTCAAATGTGAGGGTTATCCTTAAGGAGTGCTAAGAAGAGCTGTACTAGAATTAGCTAATTCTGACATGAAATTTTGTTTATGAACCGCTAAGAACCAGCACGTGGGCTGCGGAGCCCAGTCATTTTTTCCAACTAAAACAATGAAAAAGGAAATTTAAATAAATACATCGTCCTGAGTGTTTCAGCGTGAATGCGTCTGATAGGGCTGCCCAGGCTGGCCTCGGCATGCTTTGGTGGGGGCCGAGCATTGCTAGAAAAAAAGCAAAGGAAGCCCTCAGATTTAAAGAGAAGCCTGCTTCCATCCACCCCGAGCAAGTCAGATCTTATGTGCTCATTGATGCACAGCCCTGGCAGCTGTCCTGTGGCTGAGGTTGTCACTGTCCTGTGGCTGAGGTTCCAGACTCCTCAATCTTGGGATGAAAATGCAGAGTGGTGGCCTCTGGGGCCGAGCTACCCTGTAAAGAGGAAGAGGCGAGTTCTGGAGGGGACAGGCCAGTACTGCCTGCAGAGGGGTGTGTACCCACAAGAGGGTAAGCCTGGGCCCTGGCACCTAAGGGGTACAGAGACAGGTTATAGGTGTAGAGACCCAGGAAAACTTGGGAACAAAGCTGTAAGGGAATGACAAGTGACAGTCCTCGATAATGTCATCCCTCTCCTCCTCCTGGGCCTGGGCCTTCCAGGGCCAGATGCGGGTGGGCCTGGGACATAGGTCTCTGCCCTTGAGGCCCTCAGCTGGGAAGGGAGCACAGGGCTCAGAGCTGTGGGCACAGCACCACCCTCACAGCGATCTGATTAGCCCCCATGCCCACTCACCTCGGTGTATTTGACTCTGACCTAGGGTGTCTGCAAATTCCCTGGCCCTGGACAGACCCACAGAGCCCTGAGTCCCAGGGAAAACAGTCCTAGGGAACCAGACTGAACCAACTTGCATACAAGTAAATATGAAAGAGAAGTTCCTTGAAATACCCATCCTAGGTTTCCCTAGGCAGGTGCTCCTTCCCACAGCTGAGCATCAACCCGGTCAGGAAAAGTGAGCAATTTTCATCTGTATTTTAAACTCTCGCCAGGTTTAAGGCTAAGATACATAATGAGCTCATCACACACACAGTGGCCCCAATGAGTGAGTCAGCAATAAATCAACAGTCTTAATGGAAGAATTAATAACAAGCAAGTGGGATTAGATTAAGAATCAGTTAATAGACAAGAAAAATTAAGAGCCTAGTAAAATGCAAGGCCAAGAACTGTTTTCAGGCCACCCTCGGGTTTTTGGAAAGAATCACCTCCCCTTTGCTTAGGTATGTGGGTGGCTGATGAACCATTGCTGAGTTAATGGAGGTCTCTGGGGGGGCCAGGGAGGGGGCTGAGTACAGAGGTGCTTAAAGCCAAGCCCTCTGGGAGTATCTTGATTCTTCAGTATAGTACTAAGTGTCTTTAAACAATCAGAGGCTGAGAAACATGCAGCGGGCAGGAGGGGAGGGAGGAGGGAGGGGGAGAGAGAGAGCAGGAGGTACCCTGTGCAAACCCAGCTCCTACTGTGTCACTGGAGCTGTACCCGTTGACCGCGGACTTGCTGCTCAGCTCGATCATCTGGGGCAGCCGCAGCTTTCGGCAGTAGATGGAGGCCGCCTCAGGCTCCAAGGCAATGATGAGCTGCTCCGAGTTATCAGGGGAGGCCAGGCCTGCCTGCAAGACAGAAGCCGAGGCTGGGACCCAGGCTTCCTGGGCAGGACCGCTCCGAGGACACCCGTACCTTGGGCTGACACCTCCACAGAAGAGACACTCACGCTCTGTTTGTTTGGGAAATTCCCTCTACAGCTCTGCAGAGCTTAAAATTGAGGTGATGGGTGCTGGGCCCCAAGCCAGGGGCTCACTGCGGAGTGGCACCAAAAAAAGCACCTAAGCACCATTGAGCAACGTGGGGCTCTCTGGACCATGGGGCCTCTTGTACTGGGAGCTTGCTTAGCCCAGAACTGAGTAACATGAAGGAGGACGGGCCCCAAAACTTTGAAAACCACCACAGGATGGAAGAGGCATCGCTGAGCCTCAGCCTTGCAAGCATCTGATCCTGCTGTACGGGGATCTGGGCGCTCAGTGCCAGCACAGCAGGAGGGCTCCAGGCTCCAGAGCTCCAGCGGACAGGCCCTCCCAGAATCCCATACGTAGCCCCACGTTTTATAGAGTGTGCGTCAAAAGGCAGCTGGCAATTATCTTACTCAAGCGTTGATTCCTTTAATAGCAGAATAGCCTCTGCTCTGCAACATCTGGCTTTTCCAGTTAGAGCCTCTCCAGGCCTTGAAACGGCCAGCCAGGAGGCCCCAGGACTGCCTTTCTGGGAGTGCTCAGAGGAACAAGCCTGCCTTGGCTTCTAACAACAGGTCCCTGCCCACCTCTCGTGGCCTTGAAATGGAGCAAAAGGTCTCGCTTGCTTATTGAAGCTGTTCACGCCCATGGGGTTTCCTTGGTTGCCAGCATGATGGAAAACAGAGGCACACTCCACCCCTTGGGGGCTTTTGTCCAGCTCCTCCACTTTGTGCAGAAAGAAACCAAGGCTTGGAGAGGGAGGGTGGCCAACTAACTGTCCCAGGCGTCCTGACGTGGTCTCTGTCTCAGCACCAACACTGGGACCGTCTTAGGCTCAAAGCTCCAGTCTGTAAGTGGCAGAGCCTGGCCAGGCCCAGGACCTGAGCCTCGCAGACCAGCTCTTTAACTGGTTCTCACCCTCCTGTTCTCAGCAACCTCAGTTACTGGGCTGAGGCCCAGGCCTTTGGAACAAACTCCCTGGGTGCCTCCATTGCTCACTCAACTGGTTTAAAGGTACAAACTCTTTAAGCACTTACTCTGGGATGGTACTAAGTGGTACACTGCCTGTATTTGCAGTTAGGTCTCTGTGATACCCACACCCAAAATGGACCAATTAGGTATGTTTTAAAGAGAAATACTTAGCATGTGGATGACTAAAAATCTCCATTTCGCCAATACTGAATGCCTCACAGGGAGCAGTGGAGCCCCTTCTAGAAGACTGACTTTACAAAACCAGACAGAACCCCACATGTGCCTACATAATCCACAGGAAAGCCCCCTCCTTACTGCCTTGTACCCATGGCCGCAGTCAACCACAGGGGCAGCATTTATGCCCATAAGCTCCGTCCCTAGGCTGAAGAAGCCAGGTCTATGCTTCACACACATCACTCAACAGGCTACTGACTCAGATGCTTGACAAGATAGCCCACTATTCCCTAGTCAAGGGCTTGATGGGCCTCACTTTCCCCCAGGGTCACACGCGATGCCCTCGGCATAAAGATGACTGAGGTGTGGAGTGCCCAGTGAAAGAGGACATGGGTTACACAGCTGTGTGCCACCCGGAAATAGGGAACCACTAAACCTTAATCTCCAGGATCCCAGAAGAAGAAATACAAAATAAAACCAAGAGGAGCTCCCTTTGAAAGGACAGCTTCACGGATTGACTTTTCCATCTTCTTGGGTTTGTAAAGTCAGGAACCTCCTAGAACAGGCCTGGTCTCCACACATCAGAGCGAGGAGGGGGAAAGACGAGAAAGCTGGGCCGAAATGTTTCTGACTTTCCCCCAAAGTTCAGAATGGAATAAACCTGGGAGATTGGGCGGGAGACAATACCAGGGGCACCCAGGCACACAGCGTGAAGGAGGACAGGCAGAGGCTCTGCCCACTCAAAAGGCACATTGCTGTCATTGTGTCCCCCTGGGATGTCAACCTGCCAGGCAGTCCCCACCTGGCCAGGAAGAGCAACACAGGACCAGGTGGGACAGGGGGTCGTGAGGGGGGAAAGAAGAACAGAAAACAAATGCCCTCATTCTTCTGTACACCTTCCCTATAATTCTGAGCAGGAATTCTGATTTAGATGTGAAACCCACACAGAAAATCAAACCAAGAAGTCCAGAGGAGTGAACAGCCTTGAGCATAACTGAGCATAATTACAGAATATGCGATGTCCACGTGTACCTGGTGTGTGACTCACACAATCCAGGGCCCCCACTGGGGCACTCCCACATCCTGAAGCTGTAAAAGGCACACCAGTCCACGCGAGTCTGCCCCAAACAGCATGGGCTGAAGCCCTCAGGGAAGGCCTTTCATCTGTCCCTCCCCAGCTGGGCCAGACTCCCTCCTCAGCCAAAGCTTCAGCGCACTTCCACAGGGGGCCCCCCTGTCACTCAGGAGAGGATGCGGAGCTTGGATGAAGAGGACCCCAAACCAGAGAAGAAAAAAGCAGTCAGTGAGGAGCCCAGCAATGCCTGGGAGGCCAAGATAAAACAACCACACTCCCTTGCCTGGAGCAGCCCTCACCTGCTCCCCAGTGAGGGTGAGGGGCCGTGTCCCCACCAGCAAACTCCCACGCAGGCCACAGTGGGGCAGCTGGCTCTTCACAGATCCCATCTCCCCAGGCGAGGTCCCAGAGCTGCCGTGGCCTCCAAGAAAAGGAGGAAATGCAAGAGAATCCACCAGACTCTCAAAAGTCCAGATGTCTTTATCTCAGAGCAGGAGGATCAGGCCCGGAAGTGTAAGCTTTGTTTCTACATAAACACTTGAGCCATTCTCAGCAGAAGTCCTCTGGCCTGGCAGCTGTCAGGAGACCTGGGGGTCTAGTGGCTTGGGATCAGGCCAGGGTCAACCGGAGCTGAAGGGCATCCTCTGTTTTTGCTAATTCCACCTCTGGAGCTAAAACCTCAGGGCTACCGTTCCCTCCATCTGCTGGGACCCCAGCAAGCACTTAGCACTTAGCATATTCTGTCTCCAGATGGATGGATGTGGACATGTCTAGCCTGTCCTGCAAGATGGTATGCTTTCTAACGGCAGCAGTCAGGGCTTCTTGCCTGGTAGCACATAATAGGTGCTCAGAGGGTAGCTGCAGAATGAATGAATCAGCCATCCCTCCAGCCAGCCTTATTTTGCGATTTCCTGGCCCTCTTCTCTGAGGAACTGAAGAGGTGCCTTCTGCAGACGTGACCAGGGGATTCTACAAACAGAAAGAGTCTGAAGCTGGGGTGCACTAAACCCACTTGACTCGAAGTCTGGGCCGGCAGGTGCACCATCACAGTAGTTTTTACAAGGCTGCTTCCTGGTCACAAGCTCCACTCGGGAGGAGCAGGCGGGTGAGAAATCCACACTCTGGGGAAGCCGGGATTCAGACATGGGCATTTACACTGACAACGCAGCTCGTGAGCCCTGCCGTTAGCCAGGAAATCCCGCCAGGGACTGTGTCCACAGCTGTGAAAAATGGCCAGACTGGCTGAGAGCTCCGCTGGCCTGGTGCCAAGCGGCAAAGGTCTACAGCTGGTTCTGGGTGTCATGTCACAGAGTGGGGGTGGGGGCAGGGGGTTTCCTGATGTGATCATTTTTACTGCAGTTTGTTCTGAAAGGGAGGCAAATAGAAGCTGCGACTCTGTCTTAGATGAGATCATGGTAACAGGGAGCATCATTTGTTTAACAGGTTTCTGGAACCTACTAGAGTTACACATTTTAGGCAAAATGCCTCCAGAAATAAACTGGATTATTACTGACGCCCATCATGCCTAGCTGTGCTGCCCTCAAGACTGAGTAGAACCCTCTGCCATTCTAGGTCTCTTCTGAAGGCCTCAGAAGTGGGATCAGCTACTCTTTCTGCAACCATCTTTTCACTGAATGCTCTTTCAGGGTCTAAAGGCATCTTAAGCCTGTAAATTACAAAAGAGAGATTTAACCCAATTTTCCAAGAAGCTCTGGACACAAGAGGAGCTTTGGGGGCTTCCCAGGTGAAACTGTATCCGTGTAAAGTGCTCTGTGGCCCTCTGGCAGTGAACCACAGGCCCCGGAGCCAAGGTCCCAGCACCACACAGTCTAGGCCTGCTCCTCACATGCAAGGTGCTACCCCTCTGCCTCTGGGCCTCTCCTTCCTCCCCCAGGCTGTGGCAGGATGAAGCTCAGGCCCCACAGGAGTGGGCCGTGAACTTGGGCTCAGGGGTACCCCGCAGGCCTGGAAGGAAGAACTCCATTTCCCACATGAAAGTAGGGTGGACATGACCAGTTTCCTGGCTGAGCACCGTCCTGCCTCATCCTTCCAGCTCTTCCGCCTGATGCCAGGCTGACAGGCAGCACTTTGGGTGAAAAGGCTGGTGGGTCCTCTCAGACCTCAGAAGCTGGCTGGCCCAAGAAGTGTGGGTTTTGGTCATGTTCTGTTTTAGTCAGGCTTCTCCAGAGAAACAGAGCAAATAGGATGTATGTATATAGAGATTTATTATAAGAAATTGGCTCACATGATGATGGAGACTGACAAGTGCCCACATCCTACAGCTGGTTCTGGATGTCACGTCATGGAGTGGGGGAAGGGGCATCAGTAAGCTGGAGAAACAGGGGTGCTGGTGACATAGTCCCCTTGCTGGCAGGCTCAAGCCCTGGGAAGAGCAGGTGACTCAGAGTTCAAAGGCAGGAAAAACTGGTGGCTCAGTAAGAAGCAGGCAGGAGGAAATCTCTCTTATTTTATGGAGGTTCATCCTCTTAATTCTAGTCAGGGCTACAGCTGATTGGATGAGATCCTCCCTCTGTAGGGAGAACAATCTACTTTACTCATTGACGGATTTAAATGTCAATCTCATCCAAAAACACCCCCACAGCAATACTCAGAATGATGTTTGACCAAATACCTGCAGAGACCACAGGGAAGTTGGCACACCTGTGTCCTTAACATGCTCTCTGCCCCCTTCCCAGAATTTCTACAGCCTTCAGTGAACCACTCAGCAGTAAGCTACTCGAGAGCCTGTCTTAGTCACACGGGAGATGAAGCCCACCACAGTCCTGGCCCCCAGAAGGCCCCCAGTATAGGTTTGTTGAGTGAATAAATGAGTGAGTAAACAAAGAGTGACAAAATGGTCCCTGCTGTCCTTAAATCCATTCAGCGACTGTAAACTAAACACAGGTATCAAATCAGAATTACAATGAGCCAAAAATCAAGCTGCCTAAACACTGCACCAGGCAAAAGTTACCTGGCATGAAAGGACAGGCCCGTCTGCATCATGTCTCTGGGCTCCAGAAAGCAAACTCCCCATGTCCATCAAGGCTGGTCACATCTGCCCTGCTGACGAGCTGCTGGCCCTTCTATTTTCTGAGGTGCCATTTTGGTTCTGCCAAACCCCAGAGGATGCCTCCCCACAAGCCTGGTTTCCTCCTCTGCCCCTGCAGTGTAGGGGGGGCCTCCCCTTCCCCACAGCCCCACCACCTGCACAGGCAGTCCCTGGAAGAGCCGCCGGGGGCCCCAGCAGCCCTGACAAATCTACCAGCCACAGCATCTCTTATTTTTTTCAGGCTAAAAATAAGAACTGGCCTTTTTCCAGGTCACACATTTGTTGCTGAAGTGTTCCTGTGGGCTGGAAAACCATGAATCTTGAGTCCCCTTCCTGCGGAAAACTCAGAACACTGGGCTGTGCCGTCTTTGACGGCTGGGTCCTGGCAGCCTGTCTCTGGACACTGCCTGAGGGCCGATGCTACGGAGAAGCTGCAGGGTGCCCAGGGCTTCTGTGGACGGCTGAACTGCATTTGTGCTTCTTCCTTTTTGAAGGAATTGCCTCTTTCTGTAACTCCCACCCTCTTCCTTCATCTCTATAAAAACAAATCTATTTTTGGCAGATACATGGACGAAGCCAGATTCTCACGCTGAACAGAGGAATGGGAGAGAAGAGGCAGCCTGGGGCGGGGAAGAAGGGGAAGGGGGAGAGCGAGGGGAGGAGACACTGCCCTTCCTTCAACTCCACCTGCCACCTGGAGTAAAGCCCCAAGTGTCAACTACAGGTCACGATCAAGGTGCCCAGGGCCATTTATGTCCCAGTGCTCAAGGCTGATTCAGTGGGAGCTTTGAAAGACAAGGGTCATACCTGTGGCCACAAACTCAACGTCAGCCCCTGGGAGAAGTGGCTGTCTCCTGAGAGGTCTGGGCAGGGGAAGTGTGTGACTTTCCCCAGCCCAGCTCAGGTGGAAGGCTCTGAAAACTGACTCTCCGCACACAGGGAACACAGGGAGTTGACCAGGCCCCAGGGGTGGGCTTTCATTATAAATGGAAATGTATAAAGCCAGGAAAATAACTGAGCCCAGGGGATTAAGTATGACAGGAGTCAGCTCTGTCCTGGGGACCAGACGGCGGGTCAGTACAGCCGGCCCTTCCTACCACGAAGTCAGACCCTCACGGACACCCCACTGTGGCACAAGCTGAGGCCAACGGCGTGAAGGCTGGAGGCCCTGAGTGGTACCGGCAGTGCCTCCCAGCACCCACGAGGGATGGGCTGGCCATCCGCACTGAAATGCTCTGTCTCTGTGGCGCCATGCTGACTGGCACCCCCCCTGAGCCTGCCACTGCCCTCGTCCAGGTGTCTGCCACCACGCAGGTCTGGCAGCCCTCACCCCTCTCTAGGTGACTGTAGGTGCTCCTGCGTTGCTCCTCAAGTGAACTGTGCAGAGGAAAATCCCGTTTCCTTGTTTTCCCAGCTGCCTATGTGCTTCTTTCAACCTCTACGCCAAGCAGGTCTGCTTGCTTCATGGCCACTGGACTTGTCTTTATTCCTTTATTATTCATACACTCAAGGAAGCCTCTCCTTGAGGTTCGTACTTCCATTCACCCATGCAGAAATGTCGCTGAAGCCCAGTTTGCAATCCTAGCCCCAGGGAATCTGCAGCGCAACATGGCCTGGAAATGTATAAAGCCAGGAAAATAACTGAGCCCAGCCCCTCCCCTCACCAGGCTGACATCCATTCCTCACTCACAAGAAAGCCTCCTTTGTCCCCTTGCCTGAGAGGGACCCTGGCTGCCTCCCACCCTCACCCCTGTACTCACCTGGTAGGCAGCTTGTCTCATGAACTGCTTGGCGGGCTGTTTCCAGATGGCAGGCACTGTAATGACCCATCTGACATCGGAATTCTCGAACTCCGAGCCTGCCTGGTCGCTAAGCTCCTAAAGCCAGGGAGAAGGCATGAGGTCAACTGGAAATAGCTGGCCCCCCTGTGGCTTCCCTGAGAATTCAGGCTTCCTGGCCATGACCTCCTGGAGTGCCTATTCCACAGCCTAGGGATCTTACCAGTGTCAGGGAGCAAGTAAACAGGGAGTATGACTGCAGGCGGGAGGCAGGCAGACCAGTCACACTCCTAGTCATATGACCTTGGGCAAGAGACAACTTCTCAGGCCTATTTTCTTACCTGTACAATAGGGATAATAACACCTAGCTCAGGTGCTGGGAGGATTTATATGTTTCTCAGAGTCACATTTACTGAGAGCTTACTCTGTGTCCACCTTGTTAAGAATTTTGCATACCTATCTCCACGAATCCATTTAAGAATCCTGTTAGCAAGGGATTACAGTTGTGTCCCTTTTCTACAGAGAGGAGACTAAGGCCTCGGTATGTTCAGTAACTTTGTGGACGATTGCATAGCCAAAAAGTGGCAGAAATGAAATTTGAACCCGGACCCAGGTCTTTCTTGACTCTGAAGACCAAGGTCCTGACCAAATTGTTCCATGTGGTCTTGTATCCTGTACAGTGCCCGGCCCACAGTAATAATGCCCGGCAACTGGGGGCACTTGTTGTCTGAGCTGTCACTGTCATCTACCTCACCGCAAGCCCAGCACATCTGGGCAGTTTTCCCGGCAGGATGGGAAGGATATGAACACACAGAACCTAGGCAAGACCCCTGCTGCCTGTAAATTTGGTTAAGGCTAAACGACACCAGCAGGAACCCCATGGCTAAAGGGATGGGCGGAGGCATCAGAGGTTTCCACCCGGTCCCCACAAACAAAACATGTCTCTAGACTGGTTCTCAGACTCAGTATACCCATCTGTACAAGGAGGAGAATAACACTAAACCCCAGGCATCAGATTAAATAACAACACCCAGGGAATGTCTGGTCCAGAGGAGACGGGATAAATGCAGTTCCTTCCTCCCCACCTGCTCCTGTTCCTACCAGACAAACCTAAGATCAAACCTCACCTCATACCAACCCGCTTCTGCATCGGAGTCAGCTCTGGGGACGTGTTTCAGAAGGTAAACAAGGTGGGTAACTTTTTTTCTGAACGGTATCTAATTTTCTCTATTGTTCCAAACCGCTGTCTCAGGACTGACGCACCCTCTCACTGAACTAACTTCCTCTTTGATCAGCAAACTTGTTTTTGCCTTTTAAAATTTCTTTCATTTTTCACTGTGAAAAAAATATACGTAACATAAAATTTACCATCATAACCATTTTTAAGTACAGTTCAGTTGTGTTAAGTACAGGCAGTAAACTTTTTTTCTTAAACATGTTTTAAAAATATCTCTGCTTTAGGCCAATGTGAAACAATCATTTTTCTGCTTTTGTTTTTGGTTTTTTATCATGCTTGATTTTTTTTGCAGGTCAGCACTGGGCTTCAAAAGCAGATAAGCATGTGACATGTGTTGGGAAGGGTGACAAACAAGATGCCCACTATCATCCAGGCTGTTTCAAACTCTCTAAACAGGAAAAGGCTCAAAACATGAATGATGGGCCTCCTTGGCCGTAGGTAAAGTTGTTTACATAAGCTGTTTGTTCACCCGTGGATGGAGAACAGCTTGGAAGGGAAATGAACCTGATACTAATGGAACATCTCCTTGTGTTGGGCACTTGCGCTTGTTTCATCATGAATGACAAGACTGCTGCACTGTGTGATTTCTGAGCTATTCTGCCTTGGTACACATTGTACCGGAGCTCACTCTGGTCCAGCATGCAATAACCCCCACCCTGAATCCACTGGTCCCTCAAATTCCAGCCAGCTCTCCTGGGAAGGCCCAGTTCCTATAAATCTCCTCAAACAGCTTTTCCTCCTGGAATTTCTTTCCAACATGTTCCTGCTGGATATGTTGATAGCAAGTTCCCAGAGCCTCCGGCTGAGCTGACAGGTCCACAAGCCCGGCGCCCACCCACACCCCTGCCTGACCTGCTCCCTCCACTGCCTCCCTCTTGGCCAACTTAAATCACTCTCCAGTGTCAGGGGCTTTCTCAAGTCCTGCATTTTCCCCGAGTCCCCATGGCTCCACCTCTTCATCCACAGGCCTCCCTCGGCTCCTTTATCTGTCGCAGACTTGCCCCACGTGGGGCAGGCAGACAGGCCTGGGCCACCAGGTGCTGAGCCTGTCTCTTCTGGGACCCTTGCTCTTCAGGCTGACAGAGTTCCACCTCTCTGCGGCCTCACCTGCTGCTCTGCCGCCGCCTGGAAGGAGCAAAGGTGCTTCCCCACCCTCCGGGCCCCAGCCGGCCTTGCTCCCGTCCCGTTCTGCCTTTGGCTGGTCACTGTCTTCCGAAGCAAACCCAGCCGCCATCTCCCTCCTGATTCCTTCCCTACAGTCTTCTCCCCCCTCCGTTTCTGGTGGATGAATTTTTCTCCAGGATCTACTTCCCTTTCCCCAATTCCCTCTTTTTGGTTTGCATGTTCCCCATAAGACCCCACCATTCTCCGAGCCTGGAGCTGCCCCCCAGACAAAGCTGCGTCAGGATCGGAGTCAGCTGCTTCCCCACAGCTTTCCTCCATCTCCTGGGACCTGAGGACCACATGGTCTCCCTCCTGCTAAGGCTATCTCTGTGGCCATGGCACGCTCCTACTAGAAATCCTTCGATGGCTCCCTATCACCCAAGAAGAGGTTCCTTAGCTTGGCATTTGAGGCTCTGCAAGATCTCATCCCGGATGGCCACTCCTGCTCTATCCCCCAGCTTCACCGTTCTCCCACTCCAAATGGCCTGTTTCCTACAGCTGTTTGCTATGTTTTCTTTCCCCTGAACTGTCCTTGTGTCATTCCACCAGCTTGAAACACCCTCCCTTCCAGATGCTGCCTGTGAGAAACCCCCAATCCACCTCCTCCAGGGAGCCTTCCCTGCTGCTTCCCATTGAGCAGAATCTCTGCCTTCACTGCACATGGAACACCTGCAGTGTTACCCCTCATGACACCGACCCACTGACTGCATACTCCTTGGCACTGTGTTTATTTCTACACTGCCAGAACTTGTATAGGATCAGTGCATTAAAAAGTACTCCACCAAAAAAAAGGTACTTGAATGGGTGAACACACTATCATGTTCTCGCTTCTTTGTCCCCCTCCAACCCTATTTCTAGAATTCACTACATTTCTTCTAGTGATCGCATAATTCCAAATGCTTCTGAAGTTCCCAATTCTTTTTGTATAAAGCTCAGTACATAGGGCTCTTTAATCATCTAATTTACACCAATTCATCACCATGCCCTTGGTGGGGGACACTGAGCAGACAGCTCTATTCCACTTAGATATCAGTCTTCTGCATTCTGAGTCCTCCTCGCACAAATCTTTTCAAGGGTGATGCAAGGAGGCCTCACTCACACAGCTTTTCCATGGGGTCTGGGAGGGCACAGAGGAAGGGGGTGGGCAGAGCAACCATTTACCAAGAGTTCACTGTGCCTGCACCAGAGGAGGCCCTTCATGTCTGATCCAGTATCAAATGACTCAACAGGGTGCATAACCATTCCCTGCCACCTTCGGGATAGGAAGGAGGGGACCGGAGTGATTAAGCTCCTTGCCCAAGATCACGTAGCTCCTGCTTTTCTTTCTTTCATTTTTTCACTGAGATATAATTCACATACCCTAAGATTCGTCTTTTGAAAGTGTACAATTCAGTGGGTTTTAGTGTATCTCTGAGGTTGGGTGACTATCGGATGATCTGATTTCACCCCCCAGAAAGAAACCCATGTCCTGAGCAGTCACTTCTCCCTCCGCCTCCCCCAGCCCCTGGCAATCACTAGTCTACTTCCTGTCTCTATGGATTTGCCTGTTCCAGACGTTTCATACAAATGCAATCACATGGTACGTGGCCCTTTGCACCTTACTTCTCTACTTAGCATGGTGTTTTCAAGGTTCATCCGTGCTTTAGTCAGTATTCCATTCCTTTTTATGGCCAAGTAATACGGTATCCCATCACATGGTAGACCCTATTTTGTTACACATTCATCCACTGACGGACAGTTGGGTCATTTACATTTTTTAGTTATTATGAATAGTGCTGCTATTCACATACACGTACAAGGCTTTGCATGAATATGTTTTCTTTTCTCTTCAGTATACACTGAGGAGGGGAATGGCTGGGTCATCCAGTCAACTCTGTGTTCAGCCTTTTCAGGAACTGCCAGGCTGTTTTCCACAGCAGCGGCACAATTTCGCACTCCAGGGTGCACGAGGGTGCAGCCTGCTTTCTGAGTGCAAATCCCACACCTCCTCCCTCGAGGCTGTGCCTGCTCCCCTTGCTGCCACACACACCTCCCCCTACCTCACAGCCCCGGCATGTGTCCTACCTTCAGCGCCTGCTCCTTGAAGTACTGCAGGGCATAAGCAAAGACTTCCAGGGCTTTGACTTTCTTGCCATTTGCTGCTGTCAGGTCTGTCTCCATGGTGAGGTCCTGGAGGGGGGAGAGGATGCAAACGCTAAAACCACACCAAGGAGAGACATGCCTTCCGGCTTGGGGAGCTGCTCGGTGGACACGTGGAGAACCCTGGGAGCTCTATTTGTGTTTCCCAAAGTCTGAGGGGCAGACTAGAGGGACATGTCCTCCAGAACGGGCAGCACTGTCCCCTTACCACGGAGGAAGCCTGGCAGCTCCCTCTCACCCTCTCTTCTCTCTCCTGGATCCTCAGGGAGTGGAGGTTTCAGGGTAGCGGCGGAGCCCAGGGAGGAAAGAAAGGCAGCAGTCCGAGTGCCAGTGCAACGGACATACTATCTCCAGACACGGACACACACGGTCACCCTCAGGAGCCCCCAGTGAAGGCCTAAACAGTCAGGGCACCTGGCCGCTGGGCACAATGCTGAACAGACAGAAAGCGTTCATCCCCATGAGCTGCCAACCACGTCACCAAAATATAAGAGCCCCTATTTCAAGGCCTGCGCTGCCCAACCTACAAGGAACGCAGCTCCTGTCGCCCCTTCTTCAGCAAGAAGCTAAAGCAGCTGCTGAGTGCGGTCCTTGGGGTCCCTGCAGGATGCTGTGTGAGAGGCTGGGTGGACGGGCGTCACTACAAAGTGACGAGAAAAGTCCCACAGGGTGGGATGGCAGAGAGTAGGGACAGACATCAGGAGGAAGCCCCACGCCTTCCAGAACCAGCAGGCTCATTACTGCATCGGGCTGCTAACCCAGCCCTGTGGAGCCTGCCAGTAGTCCTGGTCCATCTGCACAAGCCCACTCCTCCTGACCAGCAACCTCCCCAGTACTCAGCAAAGATACCCCAGCTTTTGGGTACAGACTCCCAGGCTCAGAAAGGTGGTCAAGCACCAGGAAGCTCTGGGCTCGGAATTGAAAAAACTCAGTTTGACAAAATTCCTGCCCTTCCCCCTGCACAAGGCTGCTCCTGGGCGTTGGATCCTTCTAGGTGAAATGGGAAGGATGTGTTTCTAGCAGAGAGGCAGCCAGAGCAAGGAGCACAGAGCCTCAGGAGGCAGGGGGCTGGCTGCTCCGTCGCCCGTTAACACTTGTTTTCTCATCTGCAGACACTAATAGTAGACAAATGGAAGCAAGAATAATAGGAGTTAGCAAGTGACTGGAACCTGCAAAGAGCCAGCATGGTTCCAGGAGCTTTGTGTGTCCTCATCCCTTTAATTCTCATAACAGCCCTAGGAAGAAGGCACTGCTGGTGAGTCCATTTTACAGATGAGGTAAAACGAGGCACAGAGAGGTTAAGGGGGGATTAAGTATCTCGAAGGTGGCAGAGGCAGGATTTCAGCCCAGCCCATCTGGCCCCAGGCTCCGTGATCTTAAACCCAATCACTGTCCTGCATGTCTGAGTACTGATGGGGAAGGAAAATGTACAGGATAAAATGCTTAAACTGAAAGAATTCTATCCTATGGCCCAAGCGTTTCCCTGAAGCTTGGGGGAGGGGGCCTAGCTGCCTGAGGCATCTTACAGGACACAGTGGCGTGCTGGTAACCCAGCCGCTGTGGGAGTTGGGCCTCCAGTTATTGAGCACTACATTTCCTGAGCTGCCTCTTCCCTACACAGAGGGGTAGCAGGCCGGGTGTTACTAACAAACTGCCTGAGGCCGCCAAGTACTGCCAACCCCCAAGTCCCTCCTTCAGGATCCCCTGATCCCCCAACAATCCAGCAACTGAAGGGCATCTCCAGGCATGGTAGGGAGCCCCCAGCCCTCCGGGCCTGTGCTCCAGCTACCATCCACTCCGATCAGCTTCCCAGGCACACAAATTGTGAAATATTCTGGATATCTCGCTGCCCAGAAAGTTCTGTGTATTCCACAAAAGTGTTGTGTACTCCAGGTTGTTTCTAAAATCAAGGTCAATGGATGTTCATTTCTGCTTGGGAGAAACCTGAGGGTCCCATGGGTTGGAAAGAGCCTCCCACCCAAAGCTGGAGGAACCCGGGTCTCCCAGGTGGAGGCTGTGGGGCCAGGGGTCGGGGGCTCGCTTACCCCAGTGACATGCAGCTTCATCTTGAACTTCTCCAGGTACAGCCACTGCTTGGCCTCGGTGGGATCCAGGTCATGGTAAAAGTCCCTGGCTGCATACCCAAAACTGTGGAATTTCCTCTCCGGAGTCAACAGAATGGTGGTCGGAGTCTTCTGGTTGGACACCCCCGGGTCGCCCCCTTCCCATCGCCTGCCACCAAGAAAAGGGAGAGGTTATGGGACCCTCTTCATCATCCCAGTTCAGGCAGCACCTACTGTGTGTGCATGACTGTTTTAGACATGGTGCCCATCATTAGTAGCTGCTACAGGCACAGCCTGGCTCAGCTGGCTGACCAAGTACTGACTACAGACGCCACCTCAGTTAGAAAGAAAAAAAGGGGCAAGTGCCAGGTTCTTGTTCAGTAACAAGGTCTGCTTTGTTTTTTTCACTCAACTTTTACTAGGCATCTAGTGTGTACTGGGTGCTAGTGACACAGAGGTGAAACATTTATGTCTCTGCCTTGAAATAACTCACAACAGTATAGGGAATGTTTTGGGTGTTGAGGAGGGTGGGTCTGGTTTTCTAATTTGCAAGCATTCAATAGCAGATGTACAGATGGCTTGAATCTTCTCTGAAACATTGTAGGGCATGAACAAATGCATAAATACCTGCCATATCAGGTGGAAATGTGGGGCCAGGGAAATGCCCCAGGGGCCAGAGAAGGCAGGCGTGCCATCTGGTAGGGCAGAGAGAATGCAGGGTCCGGCACTGCAGACTGCTCAGAGGTGGGCAAGCACAGGGCAAGTCAGGGGAATGCTAAGTGATTGTGTGGGTTAGAGAGAGAGTGTGTAATGAGAAGTATGTGAATAGGAAGTGTGAGAAATGAAGACTGGGAAGGTGGTTGGAGGCAGGCTGAAGGGAACACTGAGGAGTCAGAGTTAATCAGTGAGTAATGGGGAGCCACTGAAGGTTTAGTGCAGGAGCATGACCATCAGAGCTGCTCTTGGCCAGAGCAAACTGGACTAAAGGGAAGGAGACAGGAGGCCAGGAGGCTGAGGAAGAGGCTGAGTCTGGAAGCAGAGGTGAGGGAGCTCAAACAAGGGTAGAGAGCCATGGCAAGGGGGGCACTGAGGGCGGACAGACTGTCCAGAGGGGGAACGGATCCAAATGGCCGTGGGGGTCCAGGAGGAGCCAGGCACCCCAGAGGGGGGAGCTGGGAGCCTAGAGGAGAGAGCACAGTTTACACAGACCAGGAGCTGGCCAAGAAGGAGGCTGCAGGGAAAGTGGGGGCTCCAGGTGACTGTGCTGACCCTGAACCCCTGGGGAGGTGGGTAAAGGAGACCCCCTGGAGTTCATGGAGCAGATCCAGGCAGGAAGCAGACCGGGGCGCCTCCATACTGGGGTGACAGACACAGCAACAAGATGAGCTGGGAGCACTGCTGGGAACTCGGGGAGGCAGGGGACGCTGTCCTGCATGACTCTATGCTGAAGGGGGGCCAGAAGAGGGCAGAGGTGGGTACAGACAGGCAGGCAGCATACGCAGTGGGAGGGACGACGGAGCAGCGCAGGGGCAGGCTGAGCCCCAGAGGCGTCCTTCCTTCTCTCAGATAGAAAGGAGAAAAGGAAGGACTGCGGAGAGGTCAGGCCGCCTGTGGGCTCTCCGTCCCTTGGGGCCGAAGCACAGAAGCCAGGGCTGTCTACCAGACCTGGCACCTCCGCTGCCTCCCATCCTGCCAGCAGCCAGGCCGCCCCTAGGAGCGGCCTCCAGTGGAAACAGGCACAAGAGGAAGCGCGCCTCTCACCCTGGGGCGGTGGCTGTGCTCCTGGCTGAGCTTACAACCTGCTCCCAACACTGCCTATGAAGCCGCAGTAGGGCCATCACGGTCCAGACGGAGAGCCAGCCTCCACGTAGATTTGCTGTGTGGGTGGGTCTGGAACCATCCCTGGCGGGTTTCTCAGTCAGGCTCATCAGGATGAGGCTTCTACCCAGGGAGCCAAAGTCCCCGCAGTGACCCCACTGAGACACAGGGACCATCGCCACCCCAAGCAGACACCGGGCGCCGGGCCTCGGGGAGGGCTCCACACACCACCTTCCACAAATGGGCTTCCCATCACTACTCACACTGACATTTTTAACAGGTAATGAACCTCTGAGTTTTTTCTTTCAAATTTTTATTCCTTCATCCTCTTTAAATACAAAAAAATTAAACTTTCTTATTCATAACTTTGTCAGTTTGTCTCATGGCTACATTAATATGTTCTGATTGAAGTAAAATCCAGGTAGACCCTGCCTCCAAAATCTCTATAATAGTATAGAGGCCCCGAACTCTGCCAAAGCTTTGTGATGATTCTTCCCGAAAAACCTAAAGTGATTTCTGTCTTTAATTTTTTTTTCTATTTTCACTGCATGACTATCCCTTCAAAATAACATTTCTTAGAACAACCACGTAGAAACTCATAAACATTGACTTTAGCTTTTAATAGCATGCTGTTTTCCATCTGGGATTCCACCCTGGGGGACGGCAGAGCGGACCCTCACAGCATCTGACTGACCGAGGCAGAATCCCCATGGCAACTGAACGCCGAGGGCTGTGCCGTCAGCAGCGTTCTCTATGAGAACCGTCTTTCCGTTATCTCCTGATGAGATGCCACCCCCAGGTCTCTGGAGCCCCTTGGGACATCTGGTTTTCCAGAGGAAAGGCAGGGCCTAAGCCAAGACTGGGGTGGGGATGACTTGTATTATGACTTATGCTTTAAACAGCACTCCACCAAAATGCATAAGCTCTTACTCGAGAAGTGGTGACTAAATTCCACGATTACCAGCTAAAGGCAGAGCCAATCACAATGTATCTTCAGAGCCATCCTTGAATTTGGAAAATCAAGGTGATAAATCTCTGGCTCCCAAAGCTTTGCAGGGCCACAGACTCTGCAGGAAGGCCACGTGCCAGACTGGGGTAGCTGGTACTGGTGCCAGGATAGACCAGAGCCCTCACAGACAGTCAATCCCCCGTGAGTGGGGTGGACACGAGGGCCTGCCTGGCTGCTGTGTGCGTGGGGTGAGGGCACGGCAATGTCCCGGGCACAGACAGTGCCCCAGGAGGCACAAGGCCCTTCAGGGGGACCCTTGAGGTCCACTTGGCTGAAATTCACTCCACTCTGGTTCTCCTCAGGCATGTGCTTCTTGTTTCTGGTTCCTGTCATCTCATGACTTTTTCTTCACTTGGAAGAACTAATCATTTCCCTGCTTACATTTTACTAAGTGCTGATCACTTGACAGGAGATCTCATTTCATCTGCACACATACGCTGTGAGGCAGGTGCTGACAATATCCCGATGTCACAGATGAAAACACTGAAGTTTAGAAGGTTCAGCAATTGCCTAAGGTCACCAGGTAAGTGGCCGAGGCGGCGCCTGGGTCTCCTCCTTCCTGTGAGTCAGCGCCTCTCACGCAGGCTGCATGCTGGAATCACCAGGGGCCAAGTTTTACACAAACTGTCCAGGCCCTTCCCCAGACCAACTAAATCAGAACTAAAACAACGCTTTTACAGACCAGGAACCTGGAACCCAGACACCAGAAGTGCTTGCCCAAAGTGGCACCATGAGTTTGGGCTGAGCTGGGCCAGAATCCAGCACCCACCTACTGTCATTCACCTGCTCATTGAAAACCCCCCCTCTCTTTTCCCAAGGCTGCCCTGGTCTCCACAGGTACCATGACTGGTGCCAGCACAGCCCCACCCAGAACTCACCTCATCACGTGGATGCACTCCGGCTCCTTGGTGAAGCTGTAGGCATAGCCACTGGACGTGGTCCCAAAGTCAATGGCCACCACCACGAGGAACATCTGCTGCTCTGAGACATTCGTGTTGGCATCGTTCTAGAGATACACCAAGTCAGGTACAGGGGATCAGGGGGTGGCCTAGCCTAGCTCCAGAAAGAGGCCCCCTGGTGGTTCCATCCTGCCAGCTGTACACCCACCATAGACAGAAGGACATTCCGCATTCTGGCTTGAGCCTGCCACATGGGGAGTCCTCTCAAGAGGGCAGGCCAGCCCCACCCCAACCTGAGCAGCTCAGGGACAAGTGGAGGTGCTTCCTGAGTGCAGGGCCAGGCTGACCAGCAAGGGCACCTGCCCACGGCTTGCCTCCCTCGCCCTTTGTTAACTGTGCCAGAAGTTGGCTAATTCAAGGCCAGAGCCCAGTGGCTCCTGAGGTGGCACAATCTTCTCCCCACTCCCCTTCCTAAGCCTCTGTGCAAACCAGACACGGCCCAGAGCGCTTTGCCAACCACGCCTCGTGTTCCTCCCAGGTAACCACCCCACCTGCTCAGGCGTGGCATGCATGGGAGTAGGGCTCAGCATACGTGGGACCCCACCTAGTCTGGTCCTGCCATGGGCAGTCACATGACCTTAGTAAATCCTGTCCCTCCAGGGCCCAGAGCTTTCATCAGCCATCAAGTGAAAGAGTCCGACCATTCCAGGTTTTCAAACCTTTTTTTCTTAAGCAGTATACACTTTGTATTTTAACATCTACAAAATGTCAAATTATTAACCAATACATTTCAGATTGGAAGTGTACTGGTGAGAGCACAGCAGGAGTTGGAGACCACAGGACCTGGCCATAGGTGACCAAACCCCCCGATTTCCCCAGGACTGAGAGAGTTCCAGGATGCAGGGCTTTCCATCTAAAATCCAGACAGTTCCAGTAAAACCAGAACAAACCGGTGCCCCTACCTGGTGATGTCCCTGAAGTTCTCCTCAGCATGGTCTTCTTTGTGGTTCTGAGCAGCTCCTACCAATGCCACCCTTTCCTCCGAGTACTCTGCTCTGGTTGGCTGTGTGTAGGTCCCTCAAGTGGCTGCCCCACAGTATCTATCTTTTTGGCTCTGGGTGGGAGCAAATGCCCACACTCCAGCCCCCCTCACTGCTCAGGTGTCTCCCTGGCAAGCTGTTGCAGAAGCAATTATAGCCCCTGGCTTTGGGACACAGACATTCAGGGCAGTCAAAAGCCACTGATTCACCTGGCCAGATGTGGCTGCTTCCTTCTAAGAGGATGCCTCACAGTCTCTGAGTGGCAAATCTTTAAAGGGCTGCTCCCACCCTGCCTGTTCATGATATCCTTCCAGGTCCAGGGGCTCCAGAAGCCTCGGCCACACCACAGAAAACTTTTTCAGGCCCAGAGTGGGGACGGGGCTCAGTAGGCTCACGTGGCTAGTACCAGAACAATTTAATGTCCACCTATGAGTGTGCGGAGCTGCCCAGCAGCCTGCCACATGAGAGCAGACCCCGGAAGCAACTGTAATCAGTACCCACACCCACACATAGATATACATTTCTTACCACAATATGGGAGGGGGACAGGGGTGTTATTCCTGTGTCCCCCAGACTCCGGGCTGGAGATGAATATGCAGATGTGGGGGCCATCTCTGAAAGGAAAAACAAAGTACATGCCTTAGAAGTGGTCTGGGCTGACCCCGGGGGCAGAAGGACGGCTGAGTGGCTTTGCTCCTTCAGGTACTACTGCCTCTGGAAAGCTGGCTAGTGTGGGACTAGACTGATCCTCACCCATAAAGGTAGGGCGTCTGTTCCAGCACCCCAACATAGTTGGTATTCAAACCTTGACAAAATGAGATGCTTTTCTCCCAGTGACCACCAGGCCTCTCGCTATGTGCCATCCAACTGGCACTTAGCGGAGAAGCTGCCCAATCCCTGACTGCTTCAACTCCTGGCTTGTGCCCTCCATGGAACCAGCTCTTAATCTGGACACCACCATGGACTAGAGGACCCTGTAGCCTCCTGAGATGATGTGCAATTTTCTGCATGCATTCTCCTGGAAGAGAATCCACCACCCTCAGGTTCCCAAGGTGGTGTGGGACCCCCAAAGAAAACAACCCCTATCATAGGAATATAGTACAGGAGTGCAACTTCCAGGAAGAACTTTGCTTAGTGGGGGCATCACCTCTTCCCTTCTGTAGCATGAGGCCCCACCAGAACATGGGGAACTCGTCTCTCTTCAGTGATACTGAAGGTTTTTGACATTCAGGAAGAAAAACCACAGCAGAAGGACAGGTACATGAGCATTCCAGGGCCCCATTTCCTGGACCCTGCAGATAGGGCCCCACAACAGACCCAAGATCAAACTGGAGAAGAAGCAATAGGAAAGCAGCATGAGTATCATTTTGTCAGTTGCCCTGCTGCCCCTGCAATCATTTAGGCCCAGACGTTTGTTCTGAAACCTCCCCAGAGCTCAGAGGCTCGCTCCCAGGAATGAGCGCCCACGGAGAAGTCGCACTGTCCCTGGGCAGTGCTGGAAGCTCCACACTGCTCTCCCTGCCCGCTGTCCAGGACCGGCAGGGCCGGCAGAGCAGCTGAGTGAAGACTGCCGGCTCCCACTGCAGACTCCCACCGTGGACACGATGGCCAGATTCTGGGCACCTACAGATCCCAGATGCCATGTGGGGTGCTGTGCAAATACTGCTCCATTTAATACATAGCCTAATGCCTCATAGGGAAAAAAAAAATGGGTCATTTGCCAAAACAATACTTGTGGTCAGGGTAACACAGGGAGTGTGAGGGGTCTGAGAAAGACCTGCCTGCTTCTAGGGGAGCACCAGGAGAGGCTCCACCTGCCTCTGCTGCCAAATCACTTTGGTTAATCCCACGCGCTTACTGATTTTTTTTCTTCCTGCTTGGTGAGAACGCAAGCGGCATCATTACAGTGGGTGCCAAACGGGCTGAGGGGAAGAAATGAATCATGAAAGACTGAATGTGAAGCTTCAATCTGCACAGCCTCTCTGTAGGCTCACGGCCTCTCCTCCTGATGGGCCTCAATTCCAACCTCTGGGAGAAAGATGCAGAAGTAAGTAAGTACAGAGACAAATATCAATGTGCCAGCAAAGGGCTTAACACATTTCTTCAGAGAAGAAAAACAGATGGTCAATAAGCATGTGAAAAGATGCTTAACATCATTAGTCATTAAGAAATGCAAATCAAAACCACAATGAAATCCTGCTTCACACCCACTAGGATGGCTATAATAAAAATGTATACATATGGAAATAACAAATGTTATTTCCAAGGATGGGAAGAAATTGGAACGCTTGTATATTATATATCTGGTGGGAATGCAAAATGGCACAGCTCCTGTGGAAACAGTTTGGTGGCGCCCCAAAACATCAAATGTAGAGTTACCATATGACCCAGCAATTCTACTCCTAGGATTTACCTATAGGAACTGAAAACAGGGATTCAAACAGATACTTATCTGTGTGCATTCACTGAAGCATTACTCACATTGACCAACAAGTGGATACAACCCAAGTATCCATCAACAAAGGAACAGATAAGCAAAACGTGGTATATCTATAGTAGTGAATATTTTTCAGCCATAAAAAGAAATGAAATTCTTATACATGCTCTAACGTGCATGAACCTAGAAAACATGATGCTAAGTGAAATAAGCTGGACACAAAAAGACAAATATTACATAATTCCACTTACATGAAATACCTAGAATGGGCAAATGCATCGAGACAGGAAGTAGATGAAGGTTGCCAGGGGCTGGGGGGAGGGACAAATTGGGATGGATGACAAAATGCTTTAGAAATAGATAGTGGTGATGGTTGCATAACATTGTGAATGTAATTAATGCCATTGATTTATACACTTAAAAATGCTTAAAGTGGCAATTTTTATGTTATATATACTTGACCACATTAAAAAAAATTTTTATTAAAAAAAAACACTTGCTCATCTGAGAGGGGAAACAATTCCTGATTTCTACTAGCACCCATGACTCGGTGCTCTTGAAAAGAGAATGGAACAGAAGCCCAGCTCCTGAATCAGCCTATTAACCTCCACCTTTACTAATCTCCCAAAACAAGGGCACCCCCATCCATAAAAGCAGGGAGAATTTGGCCTCTCTCTGCGAGGGGCCAAGCCAGAGAATCCCTTGTACCCCTCTGCCTAAGGCCCTTTGGGAAGCTGCAGAAAGGTACCATCTGCACAAGGAGCCACCTTCTCTCCACCTGCTACCTGGAAGGCCTGCAGCCATGTGTCCACATTGGCACAGAAGGTCTTGGAAGAAACCAAATGTTTAATTGCCCAGAAAATCTGGTGTTGGCAATTAGCAAACAAGCTATTATCTGTAGACAAACCATCCACCCCGCTATCTGCTTGGTTCTAATTATCCCATCACTCAGCCCTCCTCAGAGAACGACCCACTGACTTGAAAAATAGCATGTGATGGGCCACACATTGAACACATGCCTTGGGTCCCCAGAGAACCTGAGGATATTTCAGGGCAAGAACCAAGGCTTTTTTTCAGTTCTTCCTGTGTCTCCCTATCCCCACCACCACCCTTGCTGATCACTCAGCCAAGCCTTAAGCAATTAAGCTTCATGGACTTTATCTAACAGAAATTAAAATGCAACTACATTTGCAATGGTTTTAAACTGATCTGCATAAAATGTATGGAAGGGTAACATTTTTACAGATATATACATATCATCACGCCTACATCTACAGCTCTATATATCCCAAATCAAAGATAATTCACCAGTTAATGTGCATCAGTGCAGCACAGGAATAGACAAAACCTGCAGTGACAACTTTGTTCTCAAGTTAATATTTCTTTATTTAGGATGATAAAGTTGAACTCAAAAATTAGAGCAGACCCCGGAAGCAACTGTAATCAGTACCCACACCCACACATAGATATACATTTCTTACCACAATATGGGAGGGGGACAGGGGTGTTATTCCTGTGTCCCCCAGACTCCGGGCTGGAGATGAATATGCAGATGTGGGGGCCATCTCTGAAAGGAAAAACAAAGTACATGCCTTAGAAGTGGTCTGGGCTGACCCCGGGGGCAGAAGGACGGCTGAGTGGCTTTGCTCCTTCAGGTACTACTGCCTCTGGAAAGCTGGCTAGTGTGGGACTAGACTGATCCTCACCCATAAAGGTAGGGCGTCTGTTCCAGCACCCCAACATAGTTGGTATTCAAACCTTGACAAAATGAGATGCTTTTCTCCCAGTGACCACCAGGCCTCTCGCTATGTGCCATCCAACTGGCACTTAGCGGAGAAGCTGCCCAATCCCTGACTGCTTCAACTCCTGGCTTGTGCCCTCCATGGAACCAGCTCTTAATCTGGACACCACCATGGACTAGAGGACCCTGTAGCCTCCTGAGATGATGTGCAATTTTCTGCATGCATTCTCCTGGAAGAGAATCCACCACCCTCAGGTTCCCAAGGTGGTGTGGGACCCCCAAAGAAAACAACCCCTATCATAGGAATATAGTACAGGAGTGCAACTTCCAGGAAGAACTTTGCTTAGTGGGGGCATCACCTCTTCCCTTCTGTAGCATGAGGCCCCACCAGAACATGGGGAACTCGTCTCTCTTCAGTGATACTGAAGGTTTTTGACATTCAGGAAGAAAAACCACAGCAGAAGGACAGGTACATGAGCATTCCAGGGCCCCATTTCCTGGACCCTGCAGATAGGGCCCCACAACAGACCCAAGATCAAACTGGAGAAGAAGCAATAGGAAAGCAGCATGAGTATCATTTTGTCAGTTGCCCTGCTGCCCCTGCAATCATTTAGGCCCAGACGTTTGTTCTGAAACCTCCCCAGAGCTCAGAGGCTCGCTCCCAGGAATGAGCGCCCACGGAGAAGTCGCACTGTCCCTGGGCAGTGCTGGAAGCTCCACACTGCTCTCCCTGCCCGCTGTCCAGGACCGGCAGGGCCGGCAGAGCAGCTGAGTGAAGACTGCCGGCTCCCACTGCAGACTCCCACCGTGGACACGATGGCCAGATTCTGGGCACCTACAGATCCCAGATGCCATGTGGGGTGCTGTGCAAATACTGCTCCATTTAATACATAGCCTAATGCCTCATAGGGAAAAAAAAAATGGGTCATTTGCCAAAACAATACTTGTGGTCAGGGTAACACAGGGAGTATGAGGGGTCTGAGAAAGACCTGCCTGCTTCTAGGGGAGCACCAGGAGAGGCTCCACCTGCCTCTGCTGCCAAATCACTTTGGTTAATCCCACGCGCTTACTGATTTTTTTTCTTCCTGCTTGGTGAGAACGCAAGCGGCATCATTACAGTGGGTGCCAAACGGGCTGAGGGGAAGAAATGAATCATGAAAGACTGAATGTGAAGCTTCAATCTGCACAGCCTCTCTGTAGGCTCACGGCCTCTCCTCCTGATGGGCCTCAATTCCAACCTCTGGGAGAAAGATGCAGAAGTAAGTAAGTACAGAGACAAATATCAATGTGCCGGCAAAGGGCTTAACACATTTCTTCAGAGAAGAAAAACAGATGGTCAATAAGCATGTGAAAAGATGCTTAACATCATTAGTCATTAAGAAATGCAAATCAAAACCACAATGAAATCCTGCTTCACACCCACTAGGATGGCTATAATAAAAATGTATACATATGGAAATAACAAATGTTATTTCCAAGGATGGGAAGAAATTGGAACGCTTGTATATTATATATCTGGTGGGAATGCAAAATGGCACAGCTCCTGTGGAAACAGTTTGGTGGCGCCCCAAAACATCAAATGTAGAGTTACCATATGACCCAGCAATTCTACTCCTAGGATTTACCTATAGGAACTGAAAACAGGGATTCAAACAGATACTTATCTGTGTGCATTCACTGAAGCATTACTCACATTGACCAACAAGTGGATACAACCCAAGTATCCATCAACAAAGGAACAGATAAGCAAAACGTGGTATATCTATAGTAGTGAATATTTTTCAGCCATAAAAAGAAATGAAATTCTTATACATGCTCTAACGTGCATGAACCTAGAAAACATGATGCTAAGTGAAATAAGCTGGACACAAAAAGACAAATATTACATAATTCCACTTACATGAAATACCTAGAATGGGCAAATGCATCGAGACAGGAAGTAGATGAAGGTTGCCAGGGGCTGGGGGGAGGGACAAATTGGGATGGATGACAAAATGCTTTAGAAATAGATAGTGGTGATGGTTGCATAACATTGTGAATGTAATTAATGCCATTGATTTATACACTTAAAAATGCTTAAAGTGGCAATTTTTATGTTATATATACTTGACCACATTAAAAAAAATTTTTATTAAAAAAAAACACTTGCTCATCTGAGAGGGGAAACAATTCCTGATTTCTACTAGCACCCATGACTCGGTGCTCTTGAAAAGAGAATGGAACAGAAGCCCAGCTCCTGAATCAGCCTATTAACCTCCACCTTTACTAATCTCCCAAAACAAGGGCACCCCCATCCATAAAAGCAGGGAGAATTTGGCCTCTCTCTGCGAGGGGCCAAGCCAGAGAATCCCTTGTACCCCTCTGCCTAAGGCCCTTTGGGAAGCTGCAGAAAGGTACCATCTGCACAAGGAGCCACCTTCTCTCCACCTGCTACCTGGAAGGCCTGCAGCCATGTGTCCACATTGGCACAGAAGGTCTTGGAAGAAACCAAATGTTTAATTGCCCAGAAAATCTGGTGTTGGCAATTAGCAAACAAGCTATTATCTGTAGACAAACCATCCACCCCGCTGTCTGCTTGGTTCTAATTATCCCATCACTCAGCCCTCCTCAGAGAACGACCCACTGACTTGAAAAATAGCATGTGATGGGCCACACATTGAACACATGCCTTGGGTCCCCAGAGAACCTGAGGATATTTCAGGGCAAGAACCAAGGCTTTTTTTCAGTTCTTCCTGTGTCTCCCTATCCCCACCACCACCCTTGCTGATCACTCAGCCAAGCCTTAAGCAATTAAGCTTCATGGACTTTATCTAACAGAAATTAAAATGCAACTACATTTGCAATGGTTTTAAACTGATCTGCATAAAATGTATGGAAGGGTAACATTTTTACAGATATATACATATCATCACACCTACATCTACAGCTCTATATATCCCAAATCAAAGATAATTCACCAGTTAATGTGCATCAGTGCAGCACAGGAATAGACAAAACCTGCAGTGACAACTTTGTTCTCAAGTTAATATTTCTTTATTTAGGATGATAAAGTTGAACTCAAAAATTCTTGGGGAAAAGAATGTGGAAACGCCTATTTTAGCTCCTTTGGGGTGTGTGAAGTTTCTGGTGTGCTAATAGTCCCATCCAAGCTTAGAGCTTTCATTCAATAGGTAAATAATTAGGAATAAACACAAAGGGGTCAATGGAATATTTTCTACTGGTTTATGGATATTTGACAGATCTAAGCTAATAGCCACCAGAAGACAGTTGATACGTGGAATGTCTATATGTACAAAGTATATGTTGTGTGTCCTAGCTACCAGTTATATACACAGTCCATTATCCACAATAAGAAACAGTGACTGTCATTAACTGTGGCCCTGTTTATGGTTCTCTGTAAAGCCAGTACAATACCATCTGCCCATGACTGCTCCTATCTACATGATGTGCCAGTTCAGCACACCCAGAGTGACTTGGGCACATGGGGAACAGAAAAGAAAGCCAAAGCTAAAAGCCCAACGAGAATAGAGATTTTGAGAGTGCCGACTTGGGAGAGAAAAAAGAAGCTGTAATGAAAGGGAAATCGAGACCCATCTGTGGAGACAGGGAGAGAAGACTGATTAAAAGAGATTAAAGAAAAATGCTTTACCAGAAACGGTAATCAAGGGCAGAGCTGAGGGATCTGGGAGTTTTCAGAAATACCTCCTACACTGCTCCAACTAGATGAAACATCTTCCATTTCAACACTAAGTTACCATGAAATGCAGTAATGCAGAGGGATTTGATGATTTCACATCATAGAATCCGAAAAACACTGTCCATGTCAAGAATGTAACTATCAGCCACAGAACTACGGTGAAGCCAAGCCGATGAGAAAGAGACCCTGAAGCTTCTAGTAAACCAACAGAAAATAATCATCAGGTCTCCTTTGCTATTCGTTTTAGATAATGTAATGTCCCTTCTGTCTTGTATATTTCCTGTGCAATCTTTTTAGTTGAGTGAATATAGAAGTAAGTCGGTATGGGTGTTTCTAGGTTCATTCTAATCTAAATGAATCACCTTCCAAAATATTCTTCAATCAGATCACTTTTAAAATGAATTCTGCAGCACAAAGGGGTATATAAATGAAAACATTTTTGCAGCAAAATAGAGGATATGAATAAGTAAAAGTTGACTCAACCCACAAGTCACCTGCCACGGGATAAGTAGGATCCCAAACCAGATAGTTGAGGTGGAACTAGTTTAACTTGTTAGGTTAATACTCATCACTTGGCTTAGTGACGTAAGAATCGAAATGCGGGATTCATCAGGGTTCCTGCTAAAAATGCAAGACATGTAAAATGCAGACACATTTTTATTTCCTCCTGGCTCTAATGGCCTTAATCAAAGCAGATGTTCTTAAAATAAAAAATAGCCTTGATAAGAGAACGTCAAAGCTGGCCATAATTCATGAGCTCACTTATTGCTCTTCCCTGCTGGAGACATTAGTCAGCAAATGGCCATGAGCAGAATCGTAGACTTTCTGAGATACATAAAATCAATCCTGCTCCATAAATACAACATTTTTTTTTTGTATTAGAGGAAGACAAAACACTGGGCTGATTTTATTTTACAAGGCTCTGGGCTCATGAGAAATGACAGGGAGCTTCAACAACGGTGACTCCCCAGCTTTTCCAAACATACATTCCTACTAGCTTTCAGATTTATGTATCTATCAAATAAATGCTCAATTTCAAAAGGATTTTTAAGGTCTGGTCCTTGTGATTTAAAAGATGCAATATATATTTTTCATTTCTTTTCTCCTCCTGGCTGTGATATAATAGGTA